AGTTGAGAAAGGGTGTGGAAAATGTTGAAGAGGGAAGGGCGTCGCAAAGGAGAATGCGCATGTCGGGCAGACCTCCCGGAGTTCGAGCTTCTCTTAACGGAGGAGGAACAACCCCTTCCATGAAAAGCTTTTCTGCAACCTCTTCTCCACCTTCGTATCTCAACTTATAAATCCGTAGGACCTTCCTTCCTTCCTTCCTTCCTTTCTCTCTTCACCTTTCAAACTAATCCACTTATATAAATATATCCATATTTATATAACTAATTCATATACTATTCGTCTTTCTACCATTTTCGAAGAGAAAATAATAATGTCTATGTCCTTCGTAATATTAATTATCGGTGAAATCGATTGATATTTCAATAAAAAATAAACAGATATTTATATAATATCTCGTCCAGATATAAATTGGAAAAATAAAGTAATTTTCTTTTCTTTTCTTTTCTTTTCTTTTCTTTTTTTTTCTTAAATCTATTTTTTTATGGAAAGAATTTCGAAAGCTAAAGGGGCTGCGGGAGCGGGGGGAGGGAGGCGGGAAGAGAAGGGGGGGAGAATTGACACGAGTATAAAAACGGTTCCATTTTGGTGGACAAGTCGAAGAGAGGAACGAAGGGAGTTTAGAATGTTCGAGAGGGATCGAACTAACGGGGACGGTCCTGGTCAGAGAGGGTGCACCTCTGTGAGGGAAGAGGTTCTAACCGGTTGCGCATGTTCCCTGGCAAAAGGGTATACGCCCTCTGGCGGCTGTGCAATTTCATTTTCTAAATGAGCATCCCAACCCCTCGGAGATAGAGGGTGGGGTCTCGTTGGTTTCTAGGTGGGAGAGTAGGTACGTGCCATACCTACAACGCGAACAACCGTTGCAACTTTGCTGCAATCGAAACTGCATATCCGTTTCATTAATTATGCATGAGCCTGCGGGCTGACCACGGTGTTATCGGTACGCTAGTAGCTCCTATCTGTTACAAAAAAAAAAAAAGAAAAAAGAAAAAAATCAACTCCTGAAATTCCTCGTACCGGAGAATAAGACCGGGAATAAGAGAAAAGAGTCAAGGGATTTTTATTGAAAATCCATGAAATTTTGTTAATTCGCGTCGGGCTCTCGTTAGCGTCCACACGTATTTTAATTGATTTCATCAACTAAATTTCTGTATTAAACTGTAGACATTGAACTGTTAATACTTATGAATAAAAATTTCGATAATTCTCGGTCGACAACGTCTTTTTTTTTCTCTTTTCTTCGATCAAATACCTAACTATTTCTTTTTGTTCATCCCTAATATACGAAAGTTATCTCGAAAAATCATGTCCCTCATCGTAGGATCCTCCTAAGAAAAACCACAAACATGGAGTTATAATGATCGAATCCGTTCGGGTTGGCAGGGCATACGCCCAAGAAAAAAGACTTAGGAGAAGAGGAAGGAGGAATAGGTTGGGGGTGTATGTGAGGGAGGTGTGGGGCAAGGAAAGATGGAGCAGGGTTTGGTACAGAGTGGAAGGAGCATCATGACGAATAGTCGAGTTTTCTTGCTTGGAAAAGTTGCGCGAGTAGCATCGACCCTGACCCGGGACAACGGCCGGGTTCGTCCAGCTCGTCTATTTCCCTTCCAACATGGCGGATCCTTTTGGACGTTCTCTCCTCCAGAGTACTCGTCTTCCCTCTCTCTATCCTCTCTCTGTCCTCTCTCTCTCTTTCTCTCTCTCTTTCCCTCTCACATTCCTCTTCTTCTCCTCTCTACTCCCGGATTCGTTTCTCATTAATCTTCGTCTCCACCCTTTTGCTCCGTTTCGCGAGTTCTTGCAACGTTCCTGGCCGCTCCTTCGTCCTTCCTTCCTTCCTTCCTTCCGTCTCCTCCTCCGTTACGAAGCAACATGGCCGCTCGAATCGACCAACGAGTTCGCTGCGCGATTAGTTCGTAAGGCGATTTTTCAAATTTCACATTGGTTCCACGCACGATTGGTCGCCAATGCGACAGACGATGGCCGATCATGGAATATAAAAGGGATTATCAACAAATATTTATTCGAAACTGCAACCTATTCAGATCATTTAGATCTTTCTAAGTAAATACCGTATCTATTGGTCCTACGTCGAATGGAAAAAAAAAAATAAAGCTGAACAAAAGAGCAAAGAGAGAAGAACGAAAGAAATGAAAAAAAAAGGAGAAAAGAAAGAAACAAGAAAAAAAGAAAACAGAACGAAAGAAAAAAGAAAGAGATTTCATTACGATCGGTTTAACAGAACGAAGAGCTTTCGTTGATGAACTTTCGGAGAATGAGAATAGTATGAGGCGAAGAACAGGTGACCAAAAAATGGTCTGGCGCCAGGAAGGCGCTAGACGAGGGAAGCTGCCGTCGCTCGTAGTCGTTCCTTGTCGATCCTGGAGCCAGGAGGGAAAAAGAAAAAAGCTTTCTCTCTCTCTCTCTCTCGCGCGCGCTCTCTTTGGTATCTCTTCTCTCTTCCTCTCGTTTACCGAGGATGGCCTTGAACTTGGAGGGACTCCCCCGTTGGCCTAAAAACCGTGTCGCAGTTTTTCCTTGGGGCAGCGACGGAACAGCGTCGAAGGCGGCGTTGGCGGTGGCGGCGGCGGTTGCAGCAGCAGTAGCAGTAGCAGTAGCACCAGTAGCAGCAGAAGCTCTCCAAGCACGAATCACCGAGCGAAACGGCTCTTCTTACAAGCTACTTGTTAGGTAGCTCCCCGAAGGTGGGACACGAATAGTAGAGACCCCTTTTTAACTTAAACCAATCTCTTTCTCCGCAACTTCCTTCAGCCAACTCTTCCGCAGTCTTCCTCTTTTACTTCTTACTCTTCCTTTTCCTCTTCCCCTTCCTCTTATTCATCTTTCCTCTAGTTCGACTAAAATATTACGATAAGATTTATGGTTATAGCTTGTTTTTGGAAAACTCTGTTAGGGGTCGATGACATGGGATACGATGATTCTCGGTATCCACGTTGACCTGTAGCAAGGGAGGGGAGGTACAAATAAATATCCAAGAGAAATGTTGATGGATAACTGTGTTTTCTGAATGAATGAACGATTGATTCAAGGTCGACATTTTATTTTTCTAAAGAGAAAAAGGTTATACACGGTAATAACTGGAAATTCTTTTCATTCTTATGATTAACTAATTTTCGTCATTTTTAGGAAATAGAGAGAGAGAGAGAGAGAGAGAGAGAGAGAGAAAATGGAAAAGCTTTTCATAACCTATCATCGGGGAATGAAAAAAATATTCTATTCCTTTCCGTTCACAATTCCTAATATCTATTTATTCCAGATAATGTTCATTCATAATCGCGTGTAAGACAAATAGATATAGTAAAAATAAATGAGATTTAATAGACCATCTAAAGATATATTTTCTTTAGAGACATTTAATGGAGCAACCCAGTATCTAAGTAGTAAGTATATCTAAAGTTCCCTCGAGCACATCTGGGCATCGACCCCTACCATCCACACCCTGCTTACAAGATTTGTGGTTATGGCTCTTTTCTGGTTCACGAATAGCACCGCAAAAGAGACAGAGTTTTTCGTCTCTTACGTTTCTTTCTTGGCTGCTTGGTCGACGGATTGAAGTTCAAGGTCGGAGTTGATAGAAGATCGACGTATGTATAAGTGTGTGTATGTGTGTTTGTGTATATATATATATATATATATATATATATATATATATGTATAAGGTGTTTGTTGAAGCTACTCTAAGAAAAAAAACGAGATTTGTATCGAACGAAGATAGAAATCTGATAGATAAATATAATTGACGAAAAAGGAAATATATTATTTTTATGTCAACATTTTGTTGTTGTCCTTATCGTTATCGTCGGAGTAAACTACATTCAAAGACAAAAAAAATATATAAATGTTTAACTTCCTAGAATATCAAAGATATCTCTTTCTCGACGATCCCTCATCATCTAAATGAGGTAACTTTTTCCACGTATGTAGTTCCTTTTTATTTTTCTCCCTCTCTCTCTCTCACTCTCTCTCTCTCTCTGTCTTTTAGTTCGCTACGAAGAAATGACCTAGGAATTCACGCAGGATCGTTTCGAGGGGCTGCTTTTTGCATGCCGATGATCACGACCTCTCCCAATCTCTCTTCTTGGTCGTTCACCGAAGAAGAGAGGATACGATAGATACGTTGGAATTAGGTCGGCTGAGGTCAACCTCAAGATACCTCTTATTGGCAAGGACGCGGATATCTTTTTTACATGTGTACATGTATGCTGAGAATTCAATTTTTAATGATGAATACTCTCCCACTTTCTCTCTCTTTCTCTCTCTCTTTCTCTTCTTTCGTTCCTTTTACAAATCTTATGTTTCTTATAAAACCTCATACCTATTTACTTTTAGATACATTTAACGGACACTTGTATCGAAGTATATAATGCAGAACATTTTCACTTCCTCTTTCGAGATCGCTCTCTATTCAGACGAGATGGAGAAAATGGCGTACGTAAAATTCGATAAAAGTTCATATATTATATTTTTTCGGTTAAATAAATTCTATTCGAAACATAAGAAGTCATAAGATATTTCTCGGTAAAAATATTGCAATTGTAGTCGCGGAAAATCGTTGGTAGGTAGATAGGTAGGTAGGTAGGTAAGTACCTACATCGTTTTTCCGAGAAGTTGAAAAAAAAACGACTAGCGAAGGTAGGAGCAATGCTAAAGAGTTAGAAAGATAGATAGAGAGAGAGAGAGAGAGAGAGAGAGAGAGAAAGAAAAGGTGCGTAGCACGGTAGCCGTTACGAGATAGGTTGGTAGATAGGTGGATACATATAGAAAGAGAGAGAGAGAGAAAAAAAGACAAAGGTAGAAAAAGAAAGAAAAAGAAGAGATAGAAATGGAGGCATAAGAGAGGCAGAAACGAATAATAAGAAAAAGAAGAAACAGAGAGAAAGAGAGAGAAACAGTGCGCGCGCGGAAAAGAGAAAAAGAAAGAGCGAGAGTATAAAAGTGCGAGCGTGCGATAGAAAGAATGAGAGAAAGAGTGAGAGAGAGACAGAGTGAGAGAGAGAAAGAGAGAGATGGTCGATCCCCCCACGCGAGTACACGCGTCCTCCCACTATACCGGTGACCGTGCTGCTCTGGTCTCCCTACTCCAGGAGAACCGAGCGGCGTCGTGGCTCGGTAGCGAGTGGCGTGGACTCGCGCGAGGGGTAGACCCGAGGATTAACGAAGACGGCCGAGCACGGCCGAACGGTCGTTCGAATCGCGGCTCCCGCGTCAGTGCTGAAACCGCGTTCGCGGTCCACGGTTCACGATTTCCGGGTCTCGCTGGTTCTCCCGTGCTTTTTTTGGTCAGACCGCCGTAGTTACCCACGTCGCGCTCGCGCGCGTACGTTTAAGGTTATACGTTCGTTAGTAAAAGCGCGAGGAGATAGTCAAATATACGCGGCAAATAAAGATATAAATAAATAAATAAATAAAGAACGAAAGGAAGGAAGAAAGGAAAGAAAGAGAAAAAAGAAAGAAAGAAAGACAGAAAGAAAGAAAGAAAGAAAGGAGGAGAAACACGGTAGGAGGAGAGGGTAAGAAAGTGGCGAGGAGTAGGAGAAGGGGGGGGGGGGGTGTGCGCGTTCATCCGTCCGTCTGTCCATCCATCTATCAATTCGTGCGTGCGGCGTGCGCGTTTGCCTACAAGCTATAATCGTGGCTCTTTTATAACCTCTCGCTTTTTCGGACAAATCCATTTTCGCGCTTTCTCAAGTCACGTATTACAGAGACATATTACGAGATACATATGTGCCGATTGATTGATTGATTGATCGATCGATCGATCGATCGATCGGTGAGTTCAACTTTGCGTCCTTGTAGATTGCTACCGATCGGTTGCAAGTAAGTCCGTACTCTGTGTTTCACCAAGTTCGACGTACTGTGCGAGCGAGACAGACGAAAGGAAGGAAGGAAGGAAGGAAAGTGAAAGAGAGAGAGAGAGAGAGAGAGAGAGAGAGAGAGAGAAAGAGAGAGATATACAGAAAAAGGGAGGGAGAGAAAGAGAGAGAGAGAGAGAGAGAGTGAGAGGGTGGTAGAGGGAGAAGAGTAATAGAACGAAAAGGATAGGTTAACTTCTGTGTCTGTCTGTTACTCGAAAGTGAGAGCAGGACGTATAGACGATTGAAAGTAAAGGAATAAAGAAAGAAAAAAAATAGAAAAGATATACTAAATAGAAAGGTGTCATAGCGATTCGCTCGCACATAATATAAAAAGTATACGTTATCATTAATACGAATTAATCAAGCGAATAAATAATAAAGTCCGACAAATTTGTGCTCGTACTTTGAGAAAGAAAGAGAGAGAGAGAGAGAGAGAGAGGGAGAGAAAAAAAAGAAAGAAAAAGAACGAAAGAAAAACTAATAACAATAACAATAACAATAATAATAATAATAATAATAATAATAATAATAATAATGATAAGATAAAATAAAAAGAATTTAATTGCAAGTCGACGAGCGAACTCGCGACTTTAATCCTTAATCGAGAACCTGGTGGTCCAATCTTTTTGGTTAGTAAGGTTAGCTGCTGGCAGCTTTTGGAGGAAGAGAGGAGAAATAAGAGGAAGAGGAAGAGGAAGAGGAGGAGGAAAAGGAGGAGGAGGAAAAGGAGAAGAAGAAGGAGGAGAAGGAGGAAGAGGAAGAATAGGAGGAGGAGAAAAAGGAAGAGGAGGAGAAAAAGGAAGAGGAGGAGGAAAAGGAGGAGGAGGAAGAGGAGGAGGAGGAGGAAGTAGTGATTGCATTTAGATTTCGAGTTGGAGCGAAAAATGGCGGCGGCGCGTCGACGGTATGCCTCGACGTCGTCGCCGGTCGACGAACATTAATGCGAGAGTATTATTGTTGTTGTTGTCATCGCCGTCGTCGTCGTCGTCGTTACTATTGCGGACTACGAAAGTCAACAGAAGGGGGAGAGAGAGATACAGAGAGAGAGGGAGAGAGAAAAAGAAAGAAAAAAAGAGAGAGAAAGACGAAGAAGAGAAAAGAAGAAGAAGAAGAAGACGAAGAGAAAAGAAGAATCGACGAGAGAAGAGGCTACGAACGGATACATTATTATTATGTAGGATTTACGTTCGGTTAATCGGTGTGTGTGTCTCTCTCTCTCTCTCTCTCCCCCTCCTCCACCCTCAATCAAATCCTCTCTCTCTCTCTCTCTTTTTTTATCCGTGTGTGTTCGTCATACTGTCCTATCCGTTGTGTCTCTCTATCTCTCTCTCTCTCTTTTTCTCTCTTCCTCCCTTCCTTTTTTTTCTCTCTCTCTCTCTCCTTCATACACACACACACACGCGTCCGCACACAACACACGCACACACACACATATATATATATACATGCACAAAGACACACACACACATGTTTTTCCCCGCATAATCATTCTCTTTCTCGATCTCTCTTCGCAAAACTCCCAAGGTGCAATATATTCGCTTTACGCGTTCGTTAGAAGAGATCGACGCGCGAATAGCAAAGGTGCTCGATCAAACGGCATTTTAGTATTTCGACAAATGCGCGAGCGGCTAACTCGTAGTCGCGCAAGGAAGAAGAATCTAGTCAAAAGGGGGAGAGAGAGCGAGGAGGAGGAGGACGAGGAGAGAAAGTAAACCAAGCGAGAAGAGAAAGAGGAAGATAAAGCAGAAGAAGAAGAAGAAGAAGAAGAAGAAAAGGAGGTGGAAGGAGAAGATAAAGAAGAAGAGGAAGAAGAGGAAGGAGAAGATAAAGAAGAAGAAGAAGAAGAGGAAGGAGAAGATAAAGAAGAAGAAGAAGAAGAAGAAAGAGGAACGAAGAAGAGGAAGGAGAGGATAAAGAAGAAGAAGAAGAAGAAGAAGAAAGAGGAACGAAGAAGACAAACGACGGAGAGAAGTAAAGGACGCGCGAGACTTTGGTACCGAGAGAACGGAGAGAGACAGAAGGAAAATAAAAGTACGCTTACGGGGAGAGAGAGAGGATAGAAGATAATTTCGGAAGCAAAGGAAGAGAAGTCACCTTGCGTCGGTAGCGTCGAGGGGCGTAAACAAAAGAGACACACGCGGTTATAAGCTAAACCAAAGCTTCTCGCACGTGTTTACATCTTCCTAGTGTACATCTTTCTTTCTCTCTCTGTCTCATATAAGAATACACACACGCACACACACACTATCTCTCTCTCTCTCTCTCTCTCTATCTCCGTCTCTATCTCTGTCTTCGTCTCTCCCTCTCTCTCTCTCTCTCTCTTTCTCTCTTTCTCTCTCTTTCTTTCTTTCTCTCTCTCTCTCTCTCTCTCTCTCTCTCTCTCTCTCTCTCTCTCTCTCTCTATTTCCTTTCGTATCGAATCGAATTCTCGGAAGTCGCGATCGTTCCACCGAACGGGACAGTTTACCGGTGCGTGCGTGCGTGCGTACGTGCGCGCGCGCATGTTTGTGTCTCTATGTGTGTGTTCGCATCGTCGTAAGCATCCGTCGTACGTATCGAGAGAAGAAAGGGGGAGGATGCACGAAGCGAAGAAGAGAGAGAAGATTTATTATTATTCTATGTGGAACTAAACTAATAACGCGTCCTCGTAATAAGGAGTACAATAATTTTCGTTCGTTCGTTCGTTCGTTCGTTCGTTCGTACGTACGTTCGTACGTTCGTCGTTGTTGCGCCGGTCGCGCGACGACGTTATAACGCGAACTGTGTTTGGTTGGTGTTACGTACCTTTTCGAATTGGTAAAAACGTATCCTATGTACGTAAATACGTACGAAAACGTGTATACGATATTTCACGAAATCAAAGAAATTATTCGGCGCGTGTTCGCCTTAGTGTGTATATATATATATATATATTTATATATATATATATATACATACTAATTATATATATATATATACATATATATATATATATATTTATACGTAATTGTCGTTCAATAGATAACAATATATTATTTCTTCACGCAAGTTCTAAACGCCCGCTCGAACGCCGCAAAGTTAATTGATTGCAGTGACGTATCCAACAAGAATTTTGTGAAGGTTCAGCTATCTGACCGACCGAAAATTTTTTTGGCACAATTCTCCGTAGAGTTGTTTATTTCTACTTCTTTTTTTTTATTACTATCTTTTTGTTGTTTTTTTTTTTTTTATATCATAATAATAATAATACTTATTATTATTATTATTATTATTATTACTATTATTATTATTATTATTATTATTATTATTATTATTATTATTATTATTATTATCGTCATCAACATTATCATCATTATTATTGTCGTTTATTTTCCTATTAATTAATTTTACTCGTCCCGGTACGCGACGAGTGCGCGCTTATTCGAAGTGCGTGACTTCGATACAAGTGCGGTTTTTCTTTCTTTTTTGTTTTTTTTTTCCTCTTCGTGTGAAATAGTTAAATATATCTATAAAAAAAAAAAAAAAAAAAAGAAAAAATAAGGAAGAGGAAAAGCAAGCGGAAGAGGAAGAGAAAGAAGAAGAAGAAGAGGAAAAAAGGAAGAAAGAAAATTTCTTACATTTGGAGACTGTCTTTTGAAAAAAGATAAAAGATAAGTAAAGAAAAGAAAGAAGGAAAAAGAAAAAAGGAAGGAGATAGATAGAAAAGGAAAAAGAGAAGGAGATGTATCCGTGGTACAGAGACAGCGTTGCGGCCGCGGCAGCGGCGGGCCTCGGTGGGCCCGTCGGAGTCGTTGGTTCAGGATTCTGTTCGAGTGGACCCGGACAAGGTGCTACTACAATAAAAACGGAGAGTGGATATTCCGACTGCATGCTGGCTCTCGATTACGTCCAGAACAAGGTTAGTTTATATTTTAAAAATTATATATACATATATACCTATATATATATATATATATATATATATATATATATATATAATTATTTATTTTAATTTGTCTAATCGATTGATTGATATCTATAATATCTAACAAATTACGATTGGTATTAAAATCCTTTAATATATTTCAAGGACAATCTCGTAACCTATTCGAAAATCTATTTATCGGATCTAAAAGTATTCGAGAAGATCTAACGTTATTCTAGAACATCGTTATAGATACACCTATGATCATAGTATTATCTAAGCAAATATCTAACAAATAAGTTATCGGTATGTTTATGACCTCTTATATATTAGACTAAAATTATGTTTCTAAGAATGACTTAATTGTTAATTCTTTCGTAAAAAGTTTCCGCGTCCATCGTTGGAATTTCACGCGACTGTTGTTCTTTTTTTTTCTTTCCTCTCTCTCTCTCTCTCTCTCTCTCTCTCTCTTTCTCTCTTTCTCTCTTCTTTTCTTTTCTTTCTCTCTTTCTTTATTCTTGGAAAATTTGAGAAGATAGCAAGAAGGTGAATTTATGTCTTATGTTTACATACAACAACGTTCAACGATAGTTGAGACCCAGTCGTTTCTTGAAATTGTAAAATGCTAATAGGAGTAGGATATATATATATATATATATGTATATATATATATATACATATATATATATATATATATATATATATATATACATATTTCTATATGTATAGGTAAAGAAAAAGTGAGATGACACGAAAGCGTACAAATCGAGGTTGTATAAGTATATTGCTTTTCTTATTTACTTTCGATCACATTCGATCGTCCTTTCGCTAACTTCTGATTTCATTGTTTGAAAACAAAGCAAAGCGGACATCTAAGAAAATTTACGCCTAGACATTCTTACTTACTTATTGTTAGTAGATAAGTTGTTAAATCGTCGGAAGAAAATCGTAGTAAAATCGTCATTATTAGTTCAAAATTTAATACAACAGGGATATATTACATTTTCATATATATATATATATATATATATATATATATATATATATATATATATATATATATATTTATCATGATTATCGTATAGATTATTATGTTAGTTATTTATATTTAATTCGTCGAATAAAATGGAACTTCTAATTGATAGCAATTTTTTTTAAATCACGATTATATCGCATAAGTTATTTATATTTGTTTTTGTCGAACAAAATGAAATTTCTAATTGATAATAATCTTTTTAAATCACGATTATATCTTACAGACTATGTTAGGTACTTATATAATTCATTCGGGAAAATGGGATTATTAACCGTTAGGAACTTTTTTTTTTTATCATAATTATATCGTATAATGTTAGATATTTATATTTAATTGATGTACATATAGAAAACAGGATTATTAATTAATAGTAATATTTTTAATCATGATTATATCGTACAGATTGTGTTAGATTTCTATATTTAATTTGTCGGACAAAATGAGATTATTAATTGATCGTAATCTTTTTAAATTATGATTATATCATAATTTACGAAATGTAATTATTAATTCTTAATAATTCATTTCGTATTTCTTTTAGATTTATACTTATTGTTAAATACATTTATATATTTATAAATAATTAGGTTAATTATAAGTATAATAAAAATGAATATTTTGTTTCTATTTATCGTATCGATACAAAACTCGTTAAACATCACATTGATGTCTATCAAGAAAAAAACAAAAAAGTTACGAGCCGAACGATATTATATAAATCTGCAATAATTAAATTGCACAGACTCGTACATTTGTAAATATCCTGTTGGAAAAAAAAGGAAACAAAAAAAAAGAAAAAAGAAAAAAAAAAGATAAAAGAAAAAATAAAGAAGAATAACACTCGTATATTCTTTCTTCGAAGAGAAAGAAATACATATGCAGACACGTATTTTTATTTCTAGAGGTTGACAGTGTGCGTATTTGACGTCGATAATAAAAACTTCATTTGACACGTGGATCGTTTTGCATAGGTACATATATTATTTTGTATAGCGTCGAGAAAATCAAGGGGGAAAAAAAAAAGGAAAGAAAAAAGATGACTCGCGGTCATCACGGTTAAGCAAGCGAGACAAAGTAATTGATGTATATATATGCATATATATGTATATACATCTATTTACGAGGAGAGTAGATCGTGCATGTCTGATTCGTCATTAATGACTTAATAGGATTAACGTTCGACTTGCACCTTAAGAATTATCAAGTTGTTCTCATCTTTAAAAGGCGTGTAATCCGCGTCCATAACGTGTCGATATTTTTCATTTTTTTCTCTTTTTTTTTTTTCAATATTTAAGAGAGCGAAAGAGAAAGAGAGAGAGAGAGAGAGAGAGAGAGAGAGAAGTATGTTAGTTTTATATTCCTAAACATTTTTTATCAACCAGGAATTATCCTTTTAATGGCGATATAATTGAGTCAAGATACTCATTTATTCAAGATTCCCAGAACTTGAATATACTTTAATAATATATAGGAAATAACTAAAATGCGAGAGAGAGAGAGAGAAAAGAATATTCATTAGAATTAAATCAAAAAGGATAGAGAATTTTTGTATCGAACTGGTTTCTGCAGGTCAATGACCTGAAGCGATACGTTTGATGCACAACTTACATAAATGAGTTACCTTACCTATGTATATACATTTTTTTCTCGTTTGTTTTTCTTTTTGTTTTTTTTTGTTTTTTCGTTTTTTTTTTTCTTTTTTTTTTTTTTTTTTTTTTTTTTTTTTTTATTCGATATATATTACGGATTATCGAGAAAAAATCAAAAGAAATTTTGTTAATCATAGGAAACAATAATTTGAAGATTTATAT